TTTTAAGGAGTTATCTTGAGCTATACATGTATGACTTTGTTTTTGGACAATTGATTACCCCATCACCACGTTGTTTCCTAAGTACCTTGATGTAAAATTTGAAAAACTAATAAAATTTGTTTAAAAAAAAAGATTTGGTTTCTAAAATGTGTTATTAGTAGGGTAACCACAGAAGGTTATCAGAAATTGCAGCTAGTCAAGAAGGCAGCAGCAAAGGTAACAAGTGGCATTGGAAGACCCTTATGTTGAAACAACAATATTAATTGCCACTTGCCTTCTGAGTTCAATGCAAGGTTTTTTGCTTTAAGGGAGCATCCAAAGTCAAATGAGAGGGAGGGAGGGAGGGAGGGAGGGAGGGAGAGATGGCCTTTTTATGATAGGAATCATCCATAGTATGAAATGTTTACTATTACCAGTGTTGAGGCTAGCACATTCCTTTTTACCGCATAGGAAAGGGCTTAAAACAGTTTACTTGGGACTTTTAGAGTGCTAGAAGCTGTAGTGTTTTAACATAGCATCTGAGAATTTTATATATTATTTATGTATTCTTGTAAGACGGACAGAGCAATTTGAACGATAGCATATAAATGTACTACATACATTTATCAACCTGATTTATGCTGTGTGTGTGTGTGTGTGTGTGTGTGTGTGTGTGTCTAGGGTATTGTGGACAATTGAAAGAATATCTCAGAGAAGGTTGCATTCTTCGTGTAGTCACCAAGAGTTGAATTCAGCTTGTGGGCCTTTATTCTATAGACATACAAATACATTGATTTTGAACAAAGAGGCATGTAATTTTCATTTTTCTTTTTTATTATTCTCAATGTTTCTGTTTTTGGAGAACATTTGTTTCTAGCTTTCCTTCTAGCAGCTCTTTGACCTGGATTATACAGAATATAAGTGGTCCACAGACCTTGAAAGATCACAGCAGAGGCAATTCAACCTGAAGGAATTAGTCTTTAAGTTCAGTGGGCAATGAATCATAATTTCACCTGCTGTTAACTTCTTCAAAGCTCCTGCCTGCCACTGTGCTAATACGGTATTACAAAGGAAAAGCAACACACGGGATCTCATAATTGTTAATATTCATTTAACACTCAGTTTAAAAAATTACAAAA